AAACAATGTTGTCAATTTTATTTCACTAGAATTATTTGCCTTTAGTCAATCATCTACACTTCAGCTTCTATAATTCTAATTGAGGACTGATTTGCTTTAATACAATAATCATACTTCTATTTTTATTTTGATTTTTTATTTCTTAAATATATCTACTTTTGCATTGTCAACTTACAGCTGACTACTTTGTATCATGTAGAATCGAGTCATCGAGGAGGCAACCTTATTAGGGGTCAATTCAGCCACAGAGGACGATGCACTTTATTTAACCCAGATGTTAGATTCCTTTCACGGAGGGCATCACGGCGGTTATGAAAGAGGTATGGGCATTGGTGCCACTCGGACTTACTTGAGGCTGTCCTCCATACCGAAAATTATCACTTCTAATCAAGAGCTACGTCATTAGGTGTCTGATCCTAGAGCTCGGGTAGCTGAGATGGATAGTCTCCGGGAGGAGCTTAGGTCTCAGATGCATCAGATTAATAACAATATGGTAAATATGCTAATATACACAGACTCTCGCATACACATGTACACTAGCATACACAAATATACATACACCTAATATTTATACTGTTGTGCGTGTCGCGGAAGCGTGACAACCAAACGGGCGTGCTTCGAGAACCAAATCAAACAAACGTCGAGATAAAAGCCAAACAAATCAAAACAACGGCACAAATCCAAACACAATAGTTTTACATGGTTCGGCAATTGCCTACGTCCACGGGGCAAGAAGGAGATGGGGTTTTCACTAATAGAGAAAGAGTACAAACTGAGATTACAAATCACTCGAAGGAACAAACTAATCTCACCAACAAGCTCTTAATCTCTCCAAACAAAACCCTAAACAAATAGCTCAGAAAATACCTCTTTTCTGTGCTCCAAATATCCCCAATTTTTCTTCTCCTCCAAATTCTCTCTTCCAATTGTTTCATATATATAGAAATCCTAAAATCATAAACATACTATGAATTCTAAACCAAAACCAAATCAAATTAGGAATCCTAATAACCTATTACCAAAATAGATTAGGAATCCTAATAACCTCATGTTACCAAAAGAGAATAGGAATCCGTTTTCCAACAATTCTTTACCTCGGCGAAGTTTTCCCAAAACTGAGCCGACACCGACCAAACCAAATGCCTCACTTGGTGTGTCCAGTACGAAGTGAAACGATCCACAACAACGGACTCAATCCATAACAAGTCGAGACCCAAACGGGAGTGCGAACACTCACCCAAACGTTGGTATCTACTCACCAAATCGGCTGCATCATAAATGACTGCCTACGTATCCTCTTGCCCAAGGAATCAAGCCTTCACGTAGTTCACCCAAATGGCCTCCAAAGGCCTCAATCCACTAGAAGAGTTCGCAACCCTTCTCTAATATCACAATCAAGTCTGCGGCTGATAGCACCTCCAATGGCTTCAAATTGAACTAATCCAAACATCTCCACCTGAGATGAACCAATGGCCATATCCAGACTACATCCATCAGCTGTACTCAAATCAATCAACCTATTATCTGCATCCAAATCAACATGATTCCTAATCTGTGTCACATCAGCTGGAATCCTAAATGATGCAGTATGATCTGGAGTTTCCTCCCAATGTGGAGTAGCATCACTCTCCACCCGCTGCGATGTCCCAAAGATCTGATCATCACTCTCCACCTGCTGAGAGTCAAACGTGACATGCCTTCTCAGAACAAAGTTAGAAGCCAATACCTAATAATCAAACACGCCTCTGAATCTCAAATGTGCTATCGGATCAAATCTCACATCCATGATGTGACCAAGTACTGGGTAGCCAAACATCCGACGCAACCCAAAATCTGAAGCAGCTCCACCAGATCCCATATCTATACATGCAGCAGTTGGCAACCTGTACATGAGACGGCCCAAACATGTCGTAGCCTGCACACCAATGCCAATGCTCGACATCAAACACCGATCCTCCTCCAGAAAGGAACAGCTACCCAAATCTGCCATCTCGCCTTGTCGGCTCAATGTTTCCACACCAATGAAGTGTCTCAAACTGCCATGAGCTTGGCACAAATACAGTAGGTCCCTCTTGTACCTCCTTCTACAACCAGAATGAAGTACCTTCACCTTACTCCCAATACACTTCTTCAACTGTTGTTGACTACTAGGACTTTAAAACCAACGGGATTTGGTTGCAATCCACAAATGCCTAGTATAATCCCCAACATAGGAAACCAAAATACCAATTTACCTTCCAATGATGCCTCCTTGGAAGGCCCCTAAATGCCTGAATGAACACCAAATAGAAGACCCTTCAATCATCAAATAGAAGTGCCAAAGTCCACCTCGGTCTCCTTGCTCATACCAACGTGCTCAAAAGGACTTCAATATGCAGGTCAAGGGCACTTCTCAATAATCCAATGCACCGTATCAATAAACAAATAACCCAACCTCAAATCTTTCTATCTCAGCCAACTATTTCAAAGCACCAACAAATGGAGAATAGATCCAAACTGATAAAGGAGAGAATTTTACCTCCAAATGAAACCCTAACAAGAGTCTCCAAACGATCTCATCCCGCACGACGGCAACGAGATCCACAAATAGGAAAAATCTCACATTTATCTCCAAACGAAGCCCTCGAAGAGCCTCCAAAGCGATCTACTCCTCCAAATAGCCCAAGTGCCAAAAAACCAATGCGGAATAAACGAAGAATAGATCCAAACTAAAAAAGATAGAGTCTTTACCAAAAAAATCCCACCTTTCTCACCAAACGAAGCCCTAGTCGAACTTCCAAATTGATCTACTCCTCCAAATAGCCCAAGCATAGCCCGAGCTCTGATACCAATTGTTGTGCGCGTCACGGAAGCGTGACAACCAAACGGGCGTGCTTCGAGAACCAAATCAAACAAACGTCGAGATAAAAGCCAAACAAATCAAAACAACGGCACAAATCCAAACACAATAGTTTTACATGGTTCGGCAATTGCCTACGTCCACGGGACAAGAAGGGATGGGGTTTTCACTAATAGAGAAAGAGTACAAACTGAGATTACAAATCACTCGAAGGAACAAACTAATCTCACCAACAAGCTCTTAATCTCTCCAAATAAAACCCTAAAAAAATAGCTCAGAAAATACCTCTTTTCTATGCTCCAAATATCCCTAATTTTTCTTCTCCTCCAAATTCTCTCTTCCAATTGTTTCATATATATAAAAATCCTAAAATCATAAACATACTAGGAATTCTAAACCAAAACCAAATCAAATTAGGAATCCTAATAACCTATTACCAAAATAGAATAGGAATCCGTTTTCCAACATATACACACGTAAACGTACACATAGACTTAACACTCAGACATGTATACACTCATACATTGCTATTGCTTTATAGGTTAATTCTCAGGGCGCTCGTTCTGTTCCCACTCCTAATGATTCACCAGCTTTAACTCGTCCTTCTCCAATTCCTTAGCCCGCTGCCGATATACCACATTCTGCTTGTCTTGTTTTGAGTGCTAACACTTCTACTTCTAGTGCTCAAGGTTTGTCACAGGAGAATCTCACCAGGATATTTGCAGACTTGAGGCGTTCGAGCTTGTCCCAGGAGGACATTCTCCAAGGAATTTCTTTCGTTCCTTAACTGGATGGATCAGGCCCCACTCTTATCTTATATTTTGGACGTATGAGTCATTTTGGATATTAGAGACATATATATAATATTGGATGTTTTTTATTGTGAGATATTGAGTGATCATTGCGTATGTATATGTTTTGTCTCTAATATTATATATTGAGTAATCATTGAGTATGTATATAATATTGGATATTTAGCATCGTTTGAGACGTATATATAATATTAAATATTTAGCACTGTTTGAGACATTTTTTTGTATGTATATATTTTTAATTTCATTGTGAGATATTGAGAAATCATTGCGCGAGATGTGTATATTAAATATAAGCAGGTAGACAAATAAAACAACCAAAACTATTCTTAAAAATCAACTAGACAAACGGTTTAAAGTGTTTGGTCTAGTCTTTACCAAAACGGTCTAAACCGTTTGGACAAAATTCTGCCCAAACGGTCTAAACCGTTTGGACAGATTTTTTTTCCAAACGGTTGAAACAGTTTGGACAGATTTTGTCCAAACGGTTCACGCCATTTGGACAAAATTATGTCCAAATAGATTAGACCGTTTGGATATTTATTACATCCCAAATGGTTACAACCGTTTGGGATTTTGTCTAAAAGGTTACTACCGTTTGGGCGACCGTTTGGGGAAAACTCATCCCTAACGGCTTCAACCCAAACGGATTTTTTTTTCGTCCAAACGGTTGTAACCGTTTGGGACTGCATTTGCCCAAATGGTTCTAACCGTTTAGATAGACCTATTTTGTACTAGTGAATATCAGAAAGTCCCCTTAATTTGGATCGTTTTCAGATAACCCCCATAACTTTCAAATTACCAAAAACCCCCTTAACTTTGGATTTTAACGTACTATCGGAATAAACCCAAAACCCCTTAACTTAGGATTTTAACGTGCAATCAGAATAAACCCATTAACTTTAAGATTTAAACTGAAATTCGCGTAAAAGCATAAACCATACCTTTTGCTACGGAAAATATCTCCGTGCGTAATTTTAAGCACCCATGTGAAAACTAAGACTAACGCTCTTAAGAGGTTTTTTGATAAAATCTTAAATTTAAACGTGTTGTCCAATTACCCTAACTTAAGGGGATTTTTCTGATTTGAAAGCTATGGGGAGTTAACTGATATTTCAAAATTGGAAACTTCAAATTGATTCGCCTGGAAATTTTGATATCTCTACCCAGAAAGAGTAAATTGATAATAGCCTTTAAGGTTTGTCATTTTTTCCATAGAAATTATGGTCCCAACATCGCCCGAATTCAACGTGCGATCCAAAAAACTCTCCACAACATTCTCTTGAACATCATACATCCATAATTTAACTTCAATCCCTTTCTTTTCTTTCAAAGCTACAAAAGCTAACCATCTAACAAAATGACCACCGGCATCTCTGAAGAGGACATGAAGAGGATCTTCAGTCATTTTGACGCCAATGGAGATGGCAAGATATCATCAGAGGAGCTCGGAGATGCTCTTCGTAGTCTTGGCTCCGCTTCTTCCGATGAAATCAAGTCCACGATGGCCGAGCTCGATACCGATGGTGACGGCTACATTGATTTTGATGAATTCGTTTCTTTTTGCAAGGCTAACCCCGGTCTCATGAAAGATGTTGCCAAGGTTTTCTAAGAGTTCAAACCCTTGCGTAAACTCATTAGCTTGTTGTTCTTCTGTTTTGTTCTATATTGTCTTGTTTCCTTGGGAATATTTGGATGTTAATAATATTTGGGTAGTGGTTGCCTCTTGTTTGATGTCAAGAATGAATGTTTTTCTCGAAGATTTGTACTAAAAAAAATTATTGACTCTACATGATTGCCATTCTCACGCCAAATGTATCCGTTCATAAATAATCTAATATACAGGTTGGGTAAGTAACTGTTGATCACGTCCAGAGCAGTAATAAAATTCATTGAGAACGCACTGTGAGAAAGTATGAAATGGTCTCGGATCAATAACATTAAATGTGTAATAAATATATATCAAACGTTAATTGGATATTAGGATTCGTGCATGAATCTAATAATTAACATCAATTTGAAGCATATTAGATGTCATGGACTGTCCCCAAATGAATACTTTCTCAAGGCGCTAGAACAACAATCACTAATTTGTGCATGTTGTACTATGCTACCACTGGGTTCTGCGCAAATCAGCTCTTAACAAACACAAAGATTTCCGGAAAAGATACTCATAACAAAAAAAGTGTAAGCATGCAATAATATGTAGGACGCTCTTAATAAAATAGAAGTTTCTCCCTTTAGTTATTAGACTTTTTTTTGTTAGTAGAGTGAACTATGAATTTTTAAATCTTAAATCAATCATAAATTATATAGAGAAGGGTGTAATTATATACTAGTTGTTAAATAGTAAAAATAACAACACTTAAATACAAAAAAAAACCATGAACTTTTGTGGAGCTGCAGTAAACCACATCAAATTTTTATTACATTATAATCCCATGAACTGTTAAGAAGTTGTCAATAATCCACATGAAATATTTCATTTCACTAAATTTCACATAAAAGCTTCTTGTTTAATCTCCAAATTCCTCAAGTCTATCATCTTATGTTGCAAACATGTGACGGAAAAAGATAAAATTAATTTGTTAGTCCCAAAGCATTATCTATTTTTTCTTTTTAATTAAATGGTATTTTTTGTGACTAAGAAAGAAATTTTCCATTTCCTTAACTTGTTGTCATGTCCTTGCTAGTAGGCACGTTAGTGTTGATGATACTACTGTGAAGATTAAAAGATAATTTTTTACGTAATATTTAATGAAACAATACAGTTCATGGATTATATGCGACCCCCCAAAAGATCATGGGGGGATTTGCAATTATAAAAAAAAAGTTGATGGGAGTTTAATGCAACTTTCCAAAAGCTAATGGTGGGTACAACTGCATCTGATAAGTCTGCTATGCGATAGGATAGAAAGATTTTTTATCTAGGAATTGTAACTACCCATTTAAGTGGTTGATTAATCTGATCCTATTTTGTGGTAGAAAATTTTCTCAAGGACCCAAAATATGTGATCATTAATAGGGGGACAAGTGAGGTGTCCATCTCCTATTGGATAATAAGTTGGCCATCATTAATGATGGCCAATTCATTATCCAATAGGAGGGGGACATCTCACTTGTCCCCCCTATTGGTCGCATATTTTGGATTCCTATAGCAAAGCTCTTTGTAGTAACTACCCCTAAGTTGTTAACGTGCTTGATGGGAGCCCATCTATAAATATAATTAAAAGGCTTTTCGGTCCCTAAACTCAATTCACTCTCTCTTTATACTTTATATACAACATCATAAGAGTGACTAAGAGCTTAGAAGAACACCAAAACACAGAGCGTTAAAGGCGTCCCCAAGCAAAAGCGTCAATGATCGCAGGTATACCGATCTCTTGCACATTCAGTTTATTCATTTCGATAGCATATATTATTTGAAAATATGCTTACATTTGGTTTCAGAGCATGGATTTTTTCTCTGCTTTGACATTGTTTGAATGCTTGGTATTTGTTTTCCCATATATGTCATGGATGCAAAATTTTGTCAAATTATTTTATAAATTTTTTTAAGAAAAACATTATGTGGGGCTACAAATAATTGGTAAATAATTTTCTCTAGCGATTCTGTGTTTTTTAAGAATGCACTTAACGTTTGAATGTGCACTTTCAGATAATTGGTTTTCTAAAATTTTGGCTTAAAACAGGGATTATGCGAATATGTATAACTTTGTTATTTTCCTTTTTTTTAAACTGTTTATCAAAATTAATGCTATGAATCATTTAGAGATCCGCTTTTTATCAATTCTATGTTTTTAAAACATTTGATTTGGTCTATAAACGGGTGAGATCGAATCTGGTTGAAAACGGGTCTGAAACCAGGTCGAAACGGCCGGACTCAAAGGTAAAGACGAGCCAAACGATATGTAGTTTTGGAATATTAAAAAATCATAATTATAGTTTGATTATGATTTATGATTACTGTTCATAACGCCTAGAATTGTGATGGGCTAGCTTTATGTGTTTTGTCTTGTGTATGCATAAAATATAATGTTTCTTGTGATCCATATAATTTTTATTAACTAGGGATTAGCCACAACAACCCTAATTATGTAGAATTATATATTAAGTTAAGTTTTAGATCACATTTACACTACTAGAAACAGGACTTTTAGCGACGGACAAATCCGTCGCTAAAAGTCGAAAATCCGTCGCTAAAACCGCCGCTAAAAGTCGAAAATCCGTCGCTAAAAGTTTTAGCGACGGAAAAAATAAAATTTCGTCGTCAAAATACCATCAGTACATTTAGGGTAGCTAAAATTACTTTTAGCGACGGATTTTCCGTCGCTAAAAGTCAGCGACGGAAAATTAGCAACGGAAAATCCGTCGTTCTAGTTTTTTTTTTTTTAATTATTAGCGACGGATTTTCCGTTGCTAAAAGTTGCATTAGCAACGGATTTTCCGTCGCTAAAAGTGGCATTAGAGACGGAAAATACGTCGCTAAAAGTAACATTATTCGTCGCTAAAAGTAACATTAGCGACGGAAAATCCATCGCTATTAGCATGTCCCCGTGTATGTTTTCCGTCGCTAAAATGGTCTATAGCAACGACTAATCTGTGGCTAAATATTTCCAATATTTTTTTAAAAAATTATTTTAAAAATTAAAAAAACATGTATAATAATATAATAAATTTAAAACCCTGTTCAATCAGCAGTATAATATTCATTCCCACACATATATAACACATATATTTTAATAAAAATATCCCAGTATAATATTCATTCCCACACATATATAACACATATATTTTAATAAAAATATCCCAACATAATTAAAATTATTTATACAACACACACCATGATAAATATTGTTTATACAACACACACTCATTGTTTTCAAATGTAAAAAAACAAATCAATCCTCCTGATCATCATCATCCTCATCACAAGCTCCACCTTGTCTAGAAGTCCAGGCCTGCAAATATAAATCAAACGTTAACAACATGACATGACATGCAAGTATAGCAATAAGAGAAAGTATCATGACATATTCTTGTATATTATATGTTTCGAAGAGAGTATCATGGCATATTCTTATGTATTATACGCACGCACATATTCTTATATACACTCATGCACGCGTATACGCACGCACACAAGCGTACACGCACCAAATCCGCACCCCCCTCCTCAACCACGACCAAAGTCGCCACCCACCCACCCCACTCCACACCAACCACCCCCTACATCACCACCACCACCACCCAATCCCTACATCTCCCCCTCCCCCACCACGACCAAACCTGACACCAACCAATCAAATAACACCTACCACAACGCAACACCACACCACAACACAACAACATCACCACCTTTAAATATGGCAATGAGTTCGGACAAAAAGTGTAAAATGTTAAGTTACTAGCTATTAGCATGTCACGGCTTAAATAATTAAATATATAAATAAACAGATCAGCTGCAGAAATGCCTTACCATGACTGAAACCTGCATGATATGCTCAAGGGAATGTTATTACGAATTCTCCAGGTTTCTGTACAGCTTTGTAAACTAGAACATTGTGTTCTAGCAATATATTTGGAGGAAACATGGTTGTATTCCCCAAGAGCACACTAAATGCATCATTATCTCCTTCAGTAGATAAAATTCCATGAGCATATACATGGTCCTTGACAACCTTTTCAAAGTCAGAAGCGGCATGACCTGGTACTCCGTACCAAGTTTTAGATGCTCCACAGTGTTGATAGTTAATACTGTCGGGCATAACAAAACATAATGTTAGCATAATGATTCTCTCATAACAACAAAATGCAAAGAAGAAAGGATTGCCAAGCTCACGCAAGAAACTTCTATACATGTGCTAGTAATGATCTTCAACATGCCAGGCAAACATACTAAATAGCATCCCAATGTAAAGCATGGGATCTGTAACTCCCTACAATGGACCGGAATTTTTAGAGAGATCCAAGATTCTTGGTAATGACGGGTGGTATTTAAATAGCTATTTACTTACTGGGATGGCTGACCCCAGTAGCCGTAAAGTAGAGTTGGGCAGTCGAGAAAGGCCCTGAAAGAAGCAGGTTATATTAATCTCATGTAACCTACAAGTGTACAACTACCATGCTAATGTAACAGAAAAGATTATGTGTGTAATCGCTTATTTTATTTCAAACACTTCCATTCGGAAAGTTATTGAAAGAAAAGACCCTAGGAAAGTAATCACCTTCAAGTTCCTTATTTGCCATCCGGCACTGGAGTATCTCCGAGCAAAAACCTTATTTGCCATCTTTTCATACTCCCAAAGGGTATAGCTCCTATAAAACTTACCAATAATCATATATTCTTGAATTATGATATTGATTACAATGCATATCATCTAATGGAAGAGCGACCAACCTGCCACTCATAGAACAAGTGATTTTGTCATCTATATCCCACTCATAAAACTTACCAATAATCATATACTCAGAAAGTCGAACAAGTGATTTTGTAGTGAACTTAAATCCGGGTTTCTCCTTCATCAAAACAACACCAGCAGGGACTGAAGCACTTATTGGGGAAACAATCTTGCATATACCTGATGCATTCTGAAAAATTCAAGACAATATAAAGAAGAGAGATTTGCCACAAGAGATAACAATGCTAGTCCCACTTTATATAACTTTAAAGTTGCAAATTAGTAACTCCCATCCAGAGTTTTAAGCTGTTTCTAGCATTAAGATTAATAATTTTAGTTACTAAAACAAATTGAAGCACACACTCATGTTTACTTAAGATGGCTTCACTTGGTGCTTTCAAATTTATTGTTCCAGCAAACTGGAATATCATTTAATAGAATTGGGAAAACATAAATGAAACAAAAGAATAGAGAAACATACGAATTTCAGGTATGTTTATTTGAGATTTAGTGCCTATTTGAGATTCATCATGTATGTTTATTGTTTAGTGTTAATCTTAGGCCTTCATGCAACCCATTAATTTAAGTACTAACAGTAACAACATCAAAGTCATGCAGGAATATACAATAAACTGTGAGCTTTCATTACTATCAGTAATCAATTTTTACCTAATTCAAGCTCAATATGCAAAATCAAGAAACAAAGTCAGATAATGCATTTCTCTGACTTCAAGGGTTCAAGAAAACTAGACAAGTGAGGGAATTTGCTGAACACACCATTTGTGCATAACATACCATTTATAAATATTCTTATTGTCGAGGGATTCACAAGGTATTGACTAATTCCATAATTGTCTCAGTTATTAATCAGATCACTACTACTCAAGCAGCTATTCACTGTAACATATTTTACAAATAACTAATTGTGCATAATATGTAATATATGAAAATAAAAACAAATCAGGCTAACCTGATTCACCACAGAAACAATTTTAACAAACTGAAGCAGCTCCTCAATTTGCTGAACATTGAAATTGCTTACGCCAATAGCACGAACCAAACCCATCTCCACAAGATCCTCCATCGCTTCCAAGTTGGTTTCAAACATTACAAAAATTGGCCCAATAGCAGGAATCCTTGCCCCGGTGCTCAAAACGAAGCAGTTACCATTTGCAACTCCATTTCCTCTCATTTTCCCCAATCTAATCACCTAAATACCCAAAAATACAACTTAGATAGAGAGATGCAAGACAGTCTCTTCATTGATCAAAGCCTCAATGCATGCCAAAAAGACAAAACCAAGTCTAATTTGCTTGAATACTTGAACAGACTAAACAAACTCACTGGCTTACTCACAATCTCTTCATCCTCCTGTTCATCCTCATTCTCACCATCGTTGTCAAAATCATAATTATTGCATGGGTTTTTTCTAAGAAAACCTAGGGTTAAATGGTCAAATTAGGTATAAAGGTTTTAAGGAGTGAGAGGAGAGCACTTACATGTTGAAGAGGAGATAGTGAAGTTGAGGAAGATGAGATGGTGTGATCGTCGTCGGTGGCGGATTGTCAGAGTCGGCGTGGTCGTCGGCGCAGGCGGAATAAGAGGCGGGGAAGAAGGACGAGGCACAGGAGAAGGCAGAAGACAAGGCGAAAGTGTCTGTGTGGAGACGGCTACGGGAGATCTAGGGTTCTCGACTGAGCTTCGAACGGTGTGAGGCGGTTCTCGGTTGGAAGAGATGAGGACAACGAGGGGGCAAGTAGGCGGGGTGG